CTCAGGGCCCTCAGGGCCCTCAGGGCCCTCAGCGCCCTCAGCGCCCTCAGGGCCCTCAGGGCCCTCAGGGCCCTCAGCGCCCTCAGCGCCCTCAGCGCCCTCTGCGCCCTCAGGGCCCTCAGCGCCCTCAGCGCCCTCAGCCCTCAGGGCCCTCAGCGCCCTCAGGGCCCTCAGGGCCCTCAGCGCCCTCAGCGCCCTCAGCGCCCTCTGCACCCTAAGCGCCCTCAGCCCTCAGGGCCCTCAGCGCCCTCAGCACCCTCAGCCCTCAGGGCCCTCAGCGCCCTCAGCGCCCTCAGGGCCCTCAGGGCCCTCAGCGCCCTCAGCGCCCTCTGCACCCTCAGGGCCCTCAGGGCCCTCAGCGCCCTCAGCGCCCTCAGCGCCCTCAGCTCCCTCAGGGCCCTCAGCGCCCTCAGCGCCCTCTGCACCCTCAGCATCCTCTGCACCCTCAGGGCCCTCAGGGCCCTCAGCTCCCTCAGGGCCCTCAGCGCCCTCAGCGCCCTCAGCATCCTCTGCGCCCTCAGCGCGCTCTGTACAGTAGGAAGGCACTGCCTTGTAGGTTCATTCTGAGGATCACGTAAGACGATGTAGATGTCGTACTCCCAATGCCACACCTCATAAGCATCAATACAAGGCAACTTTTTATTGATTCCAAAGATGTTCCAAGTGTATTATGCACGCACACACGTTCACATACAGACACACACATGCACACACTTACACACAAGTCCACTCAAACATGCACACATATACAAACACATATGCACAGGCAAACTCGTGATACGCGTATGCGCACACACCCACGCACACGGGGTCCCATGCTCGCGCCTCGTGGAAGGTCATACCAGAATGTTAATTGTGGCCGTCTTTAAATGCGAGACTGTGACTGATGTTATATATTCTTTTGGACTTTTCAGATGTCTGCACTGAGCATATATTAATTTTCATAATTAGAAGAGGAAGAAAACAAATCCATTGCCGTTGAGTGGATTCTGACTCATGGCGCCCCCATATGTTACAGAGTAGAACTGCACTATAGGGTTCTCTTGGCTGTAATCTTTACAGAAACAGATCACCAGGCCTTTCTTCCACAGTGCCAACCACCAACCTTTAGGTTAGTAGATGAGCGTAAACCACTTGTGCTACCCAGGGCCAGTTGGGGAAATGCCCCCAAATTATTGATGGAGGCTGTAAGAAAGTCTAATCCTATCTAGGAACTTCCTGTGATGGGAAAATGGTAGCACCTGGAAATGAAGCTGTTGGAAGTGTGAGCATGGGGGGATTCCTGGGGTTTGTTGGTGCCCGTCCTGATGTGAGGCCCTGTGTGGCCTCCTTCCTGCCGCCCTGGGTGCCCTGGCAGGCTCAGGGGTCTCCCTGGAGGCAGTGCTGTCTGCAGCTGTGATTCTAGAATGGTGCTGGGTTCTGGGAACGCCCTGCAACCTAATTGTGCATCTGCTTCTTCAACAGATCGTCCACGCCCACAAGCCTCACTTCCTGGCCCTGCACTGTCAGGAGTTTGGAGGGAAGAACTACGAGGCCTCCATGTCGCATGTGGACAAGTTTGTCAAGTAAGTGGCGTGGGGCTGGCGACTGGTGCTCTTCCTGTTCCTGTCTGGCTGCTGTGGGCTTGTCACTTACCATCTGGGTGTCACCCTGGGCTAGCAGGATTTATAGGAAAGGGAAGGCATGGCCCAGACACACCTGGCATGGAGACCTTTGGGGGGCTGGGGAGTGGAGTGTCTAGCCATCTGCTCCTGAAGCTGGCATGTGTCTGCTCACAGGTTGGGGATGTTAGACGAGGGGTCAGGCAGGGAGGTCATCCCGGTGTGGTCGGTGGGACAGGTCTTTATCCAGCGGCTACCCTGTAGCAGTGACGGGAGCTGGCTTTGAGGAGGCCAAAGCTCCTGAGTGATTTTTCAGTGGCCCCTACGTGCCTTGTGGCTCCTTTGGGGACAGGCACCCACCCGGTCCTGCTAGGGGAGAAAAGGGGCCAAGGCCTCCGGAAGGTTCTGTGACAGCAGGGGAGCAGAGAGTGGTTGCTGGAACCAGTCTCTGTATTCCACTACCCTAGTGTGCCTTTAGCCAGACGCTGTGCTGGGGTGTGAGCTGACACCACGCAGGCCAGCGTCAGCCCCCGCCCCGGCCCAGGTGTCATAGCATGACGCGGGCTGGGTGTCGAGGCTGGAGAGTGCTGGCAGGAGGCGTCTCCTCTGGGCCCTGACTTCAGGCCCTTCTGCAGGAGCCCTCCTTTTTTTTTTTTAATTGTGCTTTAAGTGAAAGTTTACAATTCAAGTTAGTCTTTCATACAAAAATTTATACATACTTTGTTATGTGACCCTCGTTGCTCTATGTGACAGCATGCTCCTCCTTTCCAGTCTGATTTCCCGGGTCCATTCAACCAGCTTCTGACCGTCTCTGCCTTCTTATCTCGCCTCTGGACAGGAGCTGCCCATTTAGTCTCATGTATCTACTTGAGCTAAGAAGCACACTCTTCACGAGTATCATTTTATGTCCCATAGTCCAGTCTAATCTTTGTCTGAAGAGTTGGCCTCGGGAATGGTTTTAATTTTGGCCTAACAGAGAGTCTGGGGGCCATGTCTTCTGGCGTCCCTCCAGTCTCAGACCATTAAGTCTGGTCTTTATTAGAATTTGAGTTATGCACCCCACTTTTCTCCTGCTCTGTCAGGGACTCTCTGTTGTCTTCCCTGTCAGGGCGGTCATTGGTGGTAGCCGGGCACCATCTAGTTCTTCTGGTCTCAGGCTGATGCAGTCTCTGGTTTATGTGGCCTTTTCTGTCTCTTGGGCTAATGCTTTCCTTGCGTCTTTGATGTTCTTCATTCTCCTTTGCTCTAGGTGGTTGGGACCAATTGATACATCTTAGATGGCTGCTCGCCAGCTTTTAAGACCCCAGATGCCACTCACCAAAGTGGGATGCAGAACATTTTCTTAGTAAACTTTGCTATGCCAGTTGACCTAGAAGTCTCTTGAAACCATGGTCCCCAGACCCCCACCCCTGCTACTCTATCCCTCAAAGTGTTTGGTTGTATTCAGGAAACTTCTTAGCTTTGGTTTAGTCTAGTTGAGGAGCCCTCCTTCTTGATCTGCTCCTTGATCGCAGGGAGGCTGCTCTGGAATTTCAGAGTGGGATGCTTGCCTTTGAGGCAAGGCCTGTCCTGTGGGGAAGGGAGTATGCTTCCTGATAGTGCAGTGTGGGGCATGTGCATGTGGTCTGTGGCACTGGGACAGTTAGTACATACAGGACACGTGTGCGTGGTCTGTGGCACTGGGATGGTTAGTACATACGGGACAAGTGTGGTCCACAGAACTGGGATGGTTAGTACATACAGGACACGTGTGTATGGTCTGTGGAACTGGGATGGTTAGTACATACGGGACACGTGTGTGTGGTCCATGGATTTGGAATAGTGCTTCCTCTGTTGGGAAACATGAAACAGGATTCCCGCTTTTCAGCCCACACAATCAGCTCTCCCTCACGCCGTGTGCAGGAGTGAACTTCCATTGCACCAATAATGCAAAGGTAAAAGGCAAATTAAAATTTTGGAAGAAAAAATATAGGATAATATACAGCTTTGGGATAGGCAGAGTTTTGTCTAAAGAGATGCAGAAAGTGCCACCGACAAAATAAAAGAAGGATAAATCGACCATGTTAAAGTTAACAGCCTTTGTTCCCAAAGGGCGCTGTAAACAAAGTATAAAGTTAAGCCTCAGTCTGCAGCCCGCTCTACAGGCAGAAACTAGCGCTTAAATATATGAAGTCGTCCTGTAGTCGGTAGGAAGCAGATGGCAACACCAGTTGGCACACTGGGTATTTCACATAGAAGAGGAAATGTAAAGGACGCCCCTTCCCCAAATTCAGGGGCGTGCCCTTTATCTCAGATAACTTCTGCTGCTTCATGCTTAACCTGGGGGCCTGAGAGCAGACTGTTCTCATCCCTCCCTTGCGCTGTTTTATGCGTGTTTTGCTTCTACCTGTGTTCTTTGTAAGCGAGTCCCTAGGTGGGACAAGTGGTTAACACCGCTGCTGACCAAAAGCTTAGAGTTTTAAGTCCGCCCAGAGGTGCCTCAGAAGAAAGCCCTGGCAAGCTGCTTCTGAAAAATCAACCGTTGAAAACCTTGTGGAGCACAGTTCTCCTCTGACACACACGGATTGCCATGAGTGAGAATCAACTCTGCAGCAGCTGGTGGTTTTTTTGGCATATTTGGGGATTTTAAGAGGTCACTATGAGTCGAAACTAACTAGATAGCAACTGATTCGGTTTTTCTTATTGGAAGAGAGTCCGGGGGCGGCGGTGGTTCAGGGTGGCATCTCCCCTTCCACGTGGGAGACCCAGCTTCAATGCCAGCCCAGTGCACCATATGCACAGCACCACCTGTCTGTCAGTGGAGGCTGGCCTGTTGCTATATGCTGAACAGTTTCAGTGGAGCTTCCAGACTACGGTGGACTAGGAAGAAAGGCCTGGTGATCTACTTCTGAAAAATCAACCATTGAAAACCCTGTGGAGCACAGTTCTACTCTGACATACGTGGGTTGCCGTGAGTCAGAGTTGACTGAACAGGCAAGTAGTAACTGGTAATACTATACTAACACACCCGACCCATTGCCATCGAGTCCATTCCAACTCATAGTGACCTTACGGGACAGGGTAGAACTGCCCCATAGGGTTTCCAAGGCTGTAAATCTTCACAGAAGCAGACTGCCGCATCTTTCTCCTGCAGAGCAGCTGGTGGGTTCGAACCGCCGACCTTTTGGTTAGCAAGGAGCATTTTAACCACTGCACCACCAGGGCTCCCGACATGACATGCTTTGTTACTGTTTTTGCTTTGAGCAGTCAGTTATCTTTTAAAGAGATGAAAAGCGAGAAATAGTGTCATTTATTTTCACCAGTTTATTTACCGTTTGCTGTCTCTTCAGCCCTTTCTCTCAGCGTGGGTTTCTGTTTGGTCTCTTTTTCCTTCGGCCTGAAGAACCGTTTTTAACATTTCTAGTAGTGCAAGTCTGTTGCTGATGAATTATCTCAGCTTTTGTTTGTCTGAAAACAGTCTTTTTTTGTCTTCATTTTTGAAAGGCATTTTTGTTGGAAATAGAATTCCAGCTTGTCAGTTGTTTTCTTTCGGGACTTTCAGGATATTGTTCACTGTGTTCTGGCTAGCATTGTTCCTGACGAGAATTCAGGCAAATCGTCATCTTCATTTTCTTGTTTATAATGAGCCTTTTCTCCCTTCGGACTGCTAGATTCTGTCTCTGTAGCTGGCTGGCAGCTATTTGATTATCTTGTGCTGTAGTTTGATATTTTGGGTTTGTTTATTCTGCTGGTGGTTCTCTGAGCTTTTTTGATCTGTGGTTTATAGTTTTAATCAAACTTAGAACATTTTTAAAAAGTCCATGTTTTCCCTTCCTTCTCTCCGTTTGTCCCGGAACTCCCATTTTGTGCGTGTTAGCCGCCAGGCGCTGCCCATGGGGCCCTGGGACGCGGCTCATGGTTCTCGGGTTGAGTCCCCTTCGCTGCAGTCTGGAAGGTCTCTGTTGCCCTGGTTTAAGTCACTGACCTTTTCTTTTGCAGGTTTCAGTCTGCTCCTGAATCCATCAGTGAACTTCTTATTTCTGATACTGTGTTTTCCAGTTCTAGAAGTTTTATTTATATTTATGCATTTGATAAACAAATCCTGAGAAATAAACAAATTTCTTCTCAAGAGGAAAGGATGTGGATGGCGTCAGAGAGAGAATACACAGAGGCGTCCCTGATTCTGTGATGTTTTGTTTCTCTCAAAAAGCAAAATCGAATAATCTTAACATTTATTGAAGGTGGCGCTTGAGCACATGGGGTTTATCGTGTTGTTCTCTACGCTTTTCTGTGTGCCAGAAGTACTTCATTTGTTTTAACTTAGGAAGACATTTGCAGGCCATGTCTGTTTTGCAGTAAAGCGCACCCAGCCTCATGATTCCGGGGTGCAAGCCGGCGCCCCTGACTGCACGTGGAGCCTAGAGAAGCGTGAGTCAGGTCAGTGCCTTGTCTGCCGGCTCTTAGAAAGGCCTTTCCAGGGCATTTGGCTTTGAGGGAGCTGCAGGAACCGGGCGCCGCGCCCCGGGAAACGTGCTTCTCCCAGTCAAGGCCCATGTCTTCCCAAGTCTCTCAGAATGCTGCATAGAGACACCTTGAGAAAAAAGATGGGACTGGAGTTTGAGAATCTTCAGTGATTTAACAGCACCTCAGTCAGGAGTTCGTTGGAGAAAGAAGTGAAGAATCAATAGTCAGACAAACAGGCATCAGCGCACCTCGGTGCTCGCCGCCGCGCCCCCTCTCAGCCTGTTTTCCTTGTGTGTCTGCGTGCTGGCGGTGCTGGCATGGACGGTGCCCAGGTGACGGCTGTGGGTCTGGACCCCGCTTGTCCTGGCAGAGTGCTGGGCGGTCGCGTGGCACCTCTGCCCTCCTCTCTTCCCTGCCTTCTTGGGGCTGAGGTGCGGGCAGGGGGCTCACCCTCAGTGCGGGGGCCCTCGGGTCGCCGTGGCTGTTCTGGTGCCTTGGGGGACCGCATTGTCCAGGGGCAGTGGGGAGGGTCTGTGGGCGTGAGGACGGCGTGGGTGTTTCTGAGCGTGAGTGTGGGTGGCCCGAGTGGGACGGGGCGTTCGGAAACACTTTCCTTCCTTTGCGGTTGTGCACCGGGCAGCCTGCTCGCTCCCCTTGCCTTTTCTTCTTCAAGGAACAAGTGGTGACGAGCGGCCTGGGCGCTGGGTGTGTTCAGGGTGATGGCCGTGTGTGTCAGGGCTTGCTAGCAGACATCGATTTCTTCTGTAAGAGAAAGAAGCAGTGAGGAGACTCCCAGCCCGTGGTCCTGGGTAAGTTCTCGGTGTCCACGGCAGCCACAGAGCCTGCTCCTCCTGGGTCAGGTGGCCGGAGTGGTGACACACGGTGGGCGCCTCACACCTGGTCCGGCGGCCCCTCCTGCGGCTGCCATTGTCACCCGCCCGTCAGCGGCTGGTGGTGGCTGTGTTCACGGTGGGGTAGATGTGGCTTTGAACCAGCCTCCTGTCCCTTGTGAGCTTGTCTGTAAGATGGAGACTCGTCTGGGGTCTTCTCACTAAAGGACTTGCTCTTTTCCTTCCAGAGAACTGCTGTCAAGTGACGTGATGAAGGAGTATAACAGGGCCCGCGTCTACCTGGACGAAAACTACAAATCCCAGGAGCACTTTACGGTGAGTCCTCTTCCGCTCCACACCTGGAGTATGCCTGTCTGCTGAGCTTTTTCTCGTTAAGTTGGAGACATGGTTTAAGTGCCCTCTGTCGCTAGCTAATGTGCTGTGGCGGGGTCTGCGGCCGGCCTGCAGGGGTGCTGGGCAGCGCACAGAAGACGGGTCTTGGAGCTGCTGTATAGTGGGTGGGCGCTGGAAGGTGGAACGCCAGGGAAGGGGGTCTTATGGCCTTGGTGTGGAGCCAGGCGGGCGGCGTGCAGAAAAGTAAAGGAGGTCAGGGGGCTGTGCCCAGCTGTCCCGCCCTGAGCCCTGAGCTGGTTCTGCAGGGCTGGCCTGCTGGGGACAGCACAGGACAATGGGACAGAGCCTTAGGGTAGCTAGAAAAGACCCATCCCTCCTCAGAGTTTGTGATCTGCAGGGTGGGCGGGCCCAAGAGAACACGGCCCCGGTGAGGGGCAGCAATCCCAGGACATGTGGGTGCCAGGAAGGAGAGGAGCCTTTGTGAGGGGGGAATTTGGTGCAGGCTTTGAGGAACCAGTAGTGGCTCAGGGACTGATGTCTCAAGCCCCCCATATTTAGGGGAGCCCCAGCTTCTTTCATGGCTAGCTGGTTTCCTCTGCTGTAAGGTCCCCTAGCTCATTCCCTCACCTGTCACGCTCAGCATGGGCAGGCGCTGTTTTGCGATCTGACTTCACAGGACGTGATGTCACGCTCGGCGTGGGCAAGTGCTAGTTTGGGATCTGACTTCACGGGATGTGATGTCACGCTCGGCGCGGGCAGGTGCTGGTTTGGGATCTGACTTCACGGGACGTGATGTCACGCTCGGCGTGGGCAGGTGCTGGTTTGGGATCTGACTTCACGGGACGTGATGTCACGCTCGGCGTGGGCAGGTGCTGGTTTGGGATCTGACTTCTCCACGGGATGTGATGTCCCTTGCAGGTGGCATGGTGGGTTGTGTTTCCTAGCCCATCCCTATGCCCGGTGGGAGCCCGGCGTGTCGTGGGTGTGTGCAGAGGGAGACAGGCCAGTAGGTGTCGAGGGTGGGAGTGGGGTGAGGAGAGTGTCCTGGCTGAGGGCAATAGGAGCAAAGCTGTGGCCCTGCCCGCTGGGGCTGCGACTTTGAGGTTGTCTTTGGGGCTAAGAGGCACGTGTTCAGTATTTACATGGTCCTTAGATTTGGGGCTTCTCATGTCAGCTAAGTGACATCCTTTTCCTCTCTGCAATGGCACAGAGTCTGGTCTCAGGGAGCCGAGTCTCCAGAATTCATGTCCCTTTCCTCTCTTGCTCTCCTCAGCAGCTCCTCCTCCAGACCCTTGTCCATGCTCACCCTGCACCCACTTTCAGGGATGGCCAGACCTCCACCTTCACCACCAGCACGCTGAGGCACTGAGGCCATCTGGCCAGCCACCCCTGATCATACCAGTTGCCCCTGATGGTCAGGATGCGTCCCCTCCCTCTCCTCCAGCACTGTGACCCCCTCCCTCTCCTCCAGCACTGTGACCCCCTCCCTCGATCACCCTCCTCTACCTCCACCTTCATCCTCTTCTCACTCTGGTGGCTTCCTCCCAGCTCAGAGCTCTCCCAGCTCCCAGCTCAGAGCTCTCCCAGCCTTCCTCTGCTGTGGCCCAACTTCCTGTACCCCCTCAGCGGGACTTACACAGATGAACACGCAGTATCCAAAATGAAAACCATACTGGTTGTGATTAACACAGATTAGACACTGCAGAAGAAAGCATAGTTGAAGGCTGAGCAACTGAAACTATTCAAAATGATACGTTGAATCGGACATCACTGGCCTGTGTCGCCACATCAAGCATCCAGCATACATGGATCTGGAGCCCCAGACGGTGCAGGAAAAGGGGGTAGGCGGAGAAAAAACATGAAGAAGTAAGGACTGGAACTTCCCCAAATTTGCTAAAAACTGTAAACCTACAGATCCAATTATTGCAAAAAGCTCTAAGCAGAATAAATATAAATAAAATCATACCAAGGCACATCATAACCAGATTGCTAAAGGCAGGTAGTAAACAGAGTTCCTCCTGGCTGCACTCCATCGTCGAGTGTCTCTGCTCACTGCCTCTCCTTTCTCCCTGCCTTGAATACCTTAGCCACCACAGTCCTTGGTCACTACCTCTTCATGGGTACTGTCCCTCAGATCTTCACAGCCTCCCTTCAATAGAGAGACACGTAGGCGAGAAATAGGATGGAGAAAGAGAGTGTGCAAACACGGTGAGGAGAAGCAGGCGTGGCTGTCCTAATGTGAGACAGGGTCACCTCGGGACAGGAGACGTGACAGTAAAGAGGCCTGTTTCATAGTGATGAGGAAGGCCCTTCCTCAAGAGGACCTGGTGTCAGCGCTTAAGTATACACGGAGCAAAAGCTGACAGAAGCAAAAAGTGAAGCAGAAACGGACAGATCTACACTGGAGGGGACATCAGCGCCTCTCGTCAGTTGGTAGTATGGGTTGACAGAACGTCGCAATCAACCAGGTTGGCCTGGCTGATGTTTATAGAACCCTGCGCCTGGAACAGCAGCATAGATGGCCATAGAAAAGATGCCTTGTGAGCAGAGGAGCCGAGAAGGGTGAAAGCAGGCTTCTCACCTGAGGGAGCTCAGCTGGCAGACAGTGAAGCAATGCGATTCAGTCCGGAGAGGAGCAAACTGTCACGTCCGTCGCTGTTTCTGGCAAAACTCTCAGAGTGAAGGTGAAAGAGGTGTTGCTAAGGCTTTTCCCGACAAACGAGGGCCACGAGCATCTCCAAGGCTTTCAGGCCTTTTTGGAGGAGCCCAGAGCAGCCTTCATTGAGCGTGTTCAGACCTGCTGTGAGGGTTGCCTCCCTGCGCCGGCTGGTGTGTGAGTTCTGAGGCGTCCCCATCCCCGCATGAGTCTGGAATCCCTTGGCCCGCCCTTCCCAGTGGTTGGTGTCTCCCTGGCCGAGATAGTTCACGAGGAACCTTCACCAGGACATGTTAAATCCGAGCTTTCGAACAAACCGTGACCTGTGCAAGAGACTGAAATTGTACAAAATGTCTTCTCCAGTTACAGAGTGATTAAATCAGAGTCAATAAAAGAGATCTAAATGTTTGGAATCAAACAACAAATTTCTAAGTAACTCAAAAGTCAGAGGAAATTAGAAAATATTTTGAATGAAATGGAAAAGAAGATACAACCCTTCAGAAATTGTGATATGCCTTTGAAATACTGTTTAAAGGGAAATTTCTAACGTTAAATGCTTACATTAGGGAAAAGAAAACAAAACGGAGATCAAATTAAACCCAGAGCAAGTTACGGGAAGGAAACAAAGCAAGAGTGGAAATCAGCAAAATGAAAAATACGACACCGTGAGGTAGACCAGTGAAACCACCGCTGGCTCCTGAGAAGGTTGATAATGCAGCGGGCCTTTGCCTGCCTGCTCGGGGCCTTTGGGGTGGGATTGGGGAGTTTCCGCTGCCTGGGGCTGTCTCTTGCGCCAAGGCCTTTTCCTTAGGAGGGAAGAGTGCCAGCATAGACGACTCGCCACGGTGCAGTGCCCAGGCTGGAGGGCTGTGTGCTGTACCTCAGGCCACTCACCCTCATTCAGGAGTGGCGAGACTCGGGAGCAGAAACTGTGGCCTTACAGGAAAGCCTGACACCTGCAGCTGGTCTTGGTGTCTGTCTCTCCATGTCTCCGTCTCCCTCCCTCGCTCCATCCCTCCCTCTCTCCCTCTTCCCCTCTCCCTCACCCTCCTTCCTCTCTCTCTCTCTGTCACACACACACATATTTTAGGCAACCAGCTATTGAAGTTCTCCATGCTTGTTGGAAATGCTGACTGCTTTAGTTCCCGAAGGTTCTGCTGTGTGTCACAGAGCATCACGTGCTGTTGCAATAACTCCATTCTTCCTCCAGCCGAGACGCTGGGTTAGCCTCAGGAGGGGTTTGATGGCTGCTGTGAGGAGGTGCCGCGTCAGCGCAGACAGAGCTCCACTCTGCTCCTGTCCCTTCTGTGGAGATTCACCTCGACACGCCACCTCACGGTGTGGGACTGGAGAATGGGCCTCTCCCACAGCCTGCAGTTTCACCAAAGAAATCATCACGGATTGTGGGTGCTTGCAGATACTTCTGTACAAGGATGAGCATCAAAAATTATTTAATAGCGCCATTTGGAAACAATTTTAAATGGCCCAGAGGAAGGGGTTTTTAAACTGTGGAGCAGTGCTACATATTGTGGGGCAAGGTCTTGTCAGGGCACAGAGACTCCATTTCTCTACAGAAAGAACGGGCGCGGGTTCCCGTGGAGGGAAGATGAGGCGAGGGTGCAGGCTACCCACCCACTCCGTCCTGCAGTTAAGGCTGAGTGACAGTGTGCACGGCAGCATCACGTCCGTCACTGGAGTCCCTGCTGACGGTGACACCTGAACATCCGAGGCGGTGCCCAGCCATGTCTGGCAGCAGTTCTTCTCTCCCGGGCACAGACTGAGGGCAGTGTTGGGGTGACGGCAGCACTGGGGTGTGCACGCTGTGGCCGTGCTTGTCTGTAGCTGAGATGTGCTCGTGACGGGACCGCACTCGGTGTGACCGCGCACTCTGGTCCGTCTGCGGCACGGACGGGCCCAATGAGCCACCAGAGGCACCAGCACCAAGCGTGGAGCTGGCCCAGGTCTGCCACCCCACACCGTTTCTCCCGCCACCCTCCACTTTAGAAGGCGTGGCTGGAAAGGGGGGTGGTCGAGGGCTCCGTCTGCTCGTGGAGGAGGCGGGTGCGGGCTGGACTGCTGCGAGCCGGCATGCCTGTGGCCCTGGCCCTCCTTTGTGGGTCTTGGTACTCATGGACCTCCCCTGCGGCCCCACAGCCCCGGGGCCCTGTGGACACTATGCTTATCAGAGGACGGTGGGAAAGCTGTTTGGGGTGGGATGTCTGTGCAGCCCTGGATGCCTCGCCTGGGCTTCTGCCAGGGCTGGCCTAGGGGAGGGTTTTCTGGTCACCCCTGCCGTGTGGCTGAGTTTGTCATAGTTGACGATGAG